ATTGAGAAAAGTGCAATTGTTTTTAGAGAAAACTTGGTACAAGTGATCGTCGGGAAGAGTTAGTGATTTGCGTCTATTTGAGTAATATCCTTTTATTAATGTTATTAAATAGTATATAGAGATTGTATCTAATGAATTGTAGATATATGTTTAACAGACTATGTATATATAATAATAATAAAATTATAAACATATATCTATTTTGCTAGTGCACTTATGAAATTAAAGTTTATGGATTAACAAAAAATCAATAAGGACAGAATTATTTATTTTCAGGTAGAAACATGGTATGATGATTTGTATTTCTTTTTAAAAACAACATCTTATTTATCAAATTAGGATCAAGATGAGTTTTTCTAGCAGAAATGTAAGTATTCACATCAGAAAATAAGCATTCTGATGGAACTGATGTAGCAGGAATGGACATGTATTTACGGGCAAGTTGACCAAAAAGTAAAAAACTTACATGTTTATCTTCCCACCATTTTAAGGGATTTTGATTTTTATAAGCTATTAGTTCCTTCATATATCATGTAAATTCATCTTGAGTAATAACATTATTAGGTATTGACAACGTTTCTTATAATTCGGCACTTAAAGAATCTTGAAGATTATCATTAATAGTTACTGTGCTTCTTTTTACTTCAGTATTACTTGAAACAGTTACTTGATCTTCAAGTAATGACAATTCAGCACGAACTTGGGCTTCAGTTTCTTCACGTTCTTGAATTGTGGCAAATGAGAGTAACTTTAGTGCTTAGGGGTCTAAAATAGAAGCTTTTAAACCTACTGTTAATGTTATGAATCAGGGGAAAAAAATGCAATTGATTAATTGGCTGACATTTTTTAAAAATTAATTACAAATCGATTATTGTTAACTAATCGATTAGTTGATTAGTCAATTAATCAATTAATCGACTAATTGTTTAATTGATCTAGTTGTCAATTTAGCTAACTAAATAATTAATTAATTTTTAATTTATATTACTACCTATTGTATTAGATGTATTCCATAATTCATCAAGTGACAAAAAAATAGCAGCTTGTACTTTGTCTAAAAGCCCAGAACAATTTACAGGTGATAAATATACTACAGTATTAGAATCGTCTAAATCCGTAAGTGGTTTTCTTTTTTTATTTGCTTTTTTTTTACAACTTACATGACCTTTATTACGATATGCACTTCGATGTGCATATTGCCATTGTCACTGATTTCCTGCTGATGGTATATCAGCCTCATTGTCACTACTAAGACTTGAATCATCACTAGTAGTAGAATCTTTTGAGCCGTAAATTAGATTAATCCAAGCTTCAAATGATTCGCCATTTTCAGTATTAGGCGCGAATTTATTTTTTAAGGTTCGAATATAAGGATATACAAGATTTAAAGTAGGATATTTTGATTTACAAATGTGTCTTGTAATTTCTTCAAATGGCTTTAAAAGATTAACTATTCGCTCTGTAAATCTAAAAAAAAAATATATATATGTAATAATTTATAACAATATGTATATATACTTATGCACTCAGATAATGTGTGCAGGTTGGTGATGCAGATCTCCAAAACTACAAAATATAACACAATTGAGAAGATTCAAATAAACATTCACTCTGCCAAAAATCACTTATAATTCAAAAATCAGCATAGGAACCACCTTTAGTATTCTAGTAAAAAGATTTTGTTATTGGACAATTTTACTATATAAATCACTTTTTTCTAATTCCTAACACCCTAACCTTAACAAGTTTTAAGAATTTTGTCTGCGCCACCAACCTGATACACATTATCCAAGTGCTATATGTATATAATAAATAAATTTATAATTTTATAATAACCCAGTTCCATAATGCTAAAGCCGTATTCAAGTTATTATTACTTTTTTTTTTTTTTTTTTTGTAATCAAGGTTAGCCTCTTTGGCTCATCGCTTTTATTAGATTATAGAATCATGTGGTGCCCTTTTAAGGGGCCCCAGACAAGTACATTCTGACGAGGATACATTCTAGCCATATCTACGCCTTTTGAGCGCCTAATTAAGTAGT